ATTATTTGAGCCTTCTAAATATCAGCTGTGCAAACAAAATTTTGTATGCATTAGTAACTGGTCAGTAGTACATTCCATGGAGGAAAAGGCAAAGAAAATCTAAAGTTTAGATCTGTGAAAGATATTTGAAAAATTGATTTTTAAATGCTTTTGTATGGTATGCTCCTTAAACACTCTTGATTTTGATGCTGTGCTCTACTGAGCCCAGGCCAGCGTGCTGCCTGGCACCTATCAGTCCCAGCTGCTTGGGAGGCAGAGGCAGGAGCATCATGAGTTGGCACCAAGCCTGGGCAACTTAGATACTGCCCCAAAATAAGTTATTACAAAGGGATGAGGGTGTAGTAAGTCAGAAGCCCTGCGTTTAATCCCCAGTAACATCAAAAAAGCAAAAACCAGCAAACACCAAAGCAACTGGGAAATACATTTTGGGAAGACATGATGTTAATACTGAAGATAATTCTATGGATTTGACAGCATTAAAAAACTAGTTTTAATCGGGGCTGGGGAGATGGCTCAGTGGAATAAGTGCTTGCCTGGCAAGCACAGGGGCCTGAGTTCCAATCCCCAGTTCCGCAAAACAAAAACAAAAAAACTAGTTTTAGGGGCTGGTGAGATGGCTCAGTGGTCTAAAGCACCTACTTAGAACAAGCTTATATACAGCCATTTGTATCTATGTGCTCCTGAATCTGCAGGTTCAATCACAAATTGAATATATTCTGTATCATCTGGGACCGAAAAAAAAAAAAAAAAAAGAACAAGCTTAGCAAAGCACAGGGACCGGGGTAGAATCCCCCAGCACCACATGCCAGCCAGCCCCGCCCCCTGGTGGGCTGAGCTGGCCACACACACACACACACACACGCGCACACACACACACACAAATAAAAATAAAAAATTCACTTAAAAGAAAAAAAAACTAGTTTTAGTCACTGGGGAAAAGACTGCACATTCAGGATAAATGATGTCTAACATTTGGGACAATTAAGCAAAACTTTGTGCTTCTATTAGGCCCTTTTTCAGGGGTGCAAAACGAAGGAGAGAAAAAGCAGGCGCTCATATGTTTGGAGCGCACCGAGGAGCAGAGGCTGCCAGGGCAAAGACACTAGGTTTTTAAACACAGCGCTTCCCATGGAAATGTGTCCAGCTGCTTACAATTCAAATCACTGTCTTCAATGTTTCCCTGTTGTTTCCCCAAATATCAGTAAGCTTTCAGTTACATTTTAAATTGGGTGCCTGAGACCAGGTTAGACAAAGCCTCTTAGCTTCCTTGTTCTTCAGGATAACAAGTACAACTTGTTGCAGGCAGCTTGAGTTAGATGAAATATTGTAGGCAGTTAGACAGGGTCAGGCCCTCAAAGGCGATGACAAAGACCAGACAGCTTACAACTGTGGGCGATGCTCCTGGTGTGAGCCGAACCTAAAGACCAAACAAATGCTGACCTCCCTAAAGTTGGCCTCCAGGCTTGCGCATTAGTCAGGAAGAATCATCCACTGAAGGCTACCAGATAAGGTCTTGCTTTACATTCATGCCCACTTGCTATGTGACTCGCTACCCCATTTGGTCTTGGGCCTAATCAATCTTACCTGAGCAATGGTGCTCGTAATCCCATTGGGTGACCATAGTTTTGTCCCACCCCATATCCGCCTAAGCGAGACTCCTTTGTCTCTACCTTAGCCTCGCATGGTTTTACACTATAAAAGTCCCTAGAAGAAAGCTTCCTGGGCAACCCGCTCGGGCCCCCCTTCTGTCCCTCTCCGACAGCTTTCCTTTCCAATAAAGTTTTACCCTCAATCTCCGTTTGTTCCTAAAATTCATTCTTCGGTTTTAGAGAACACGAACTCATCCAGGCCAGGCTGGAAATTTCACGTTCCTATATCACAACGTATAAGAAACTAAGCACGTGTCATCAAATGTCTACATGCTTACACGAGGCTCTCTGAGGACAGGTCTGGAAATTCTCGCCCTAACACTCTCCGCCAGGATTTTACAAAAGCAGCTACGCCCACTAGCGTTCGCACTAACCCAGTCTCCCTCCGCCAGGCTCTCTGGTCCCTCAGTGAGACAAGCTCTAGCTTCACGGAAAACAAGTGGCGAGGAAGGACTCGTGGAAGCGACAGTGGTTCCTGCTGGGCTGAGCCTACTCCTTTCTTGATCGAACTCGCGAGCTAGGCCGGCACGAGGAGGCACCGCGCCTGGGCCGGGCATGGTGCGGGACGCCGAGGGCTGGGGCGCACGCGGCAGGCTGGGGTGCGAGGACCGGGGCGCCAGGCCAGGCCAGGCGGGCCGCACTGCAAGGCCGTACCTCAAGAAAGCGGAACGGGCCAACAGGGCCGGGAATGTGGCACAGCCCTCGCCTGGCAGGCGTGAGGCCCTGGGCTGATTCCCAGTACCAAAACAGAAACAAGGAAAACCAAGGTAAACAAGAACCCACCACAGAACAGCAGGGTGCGGTAAGGAGCCGCGCGCGCGCCAGGAACGGGACGATGAAGGCGAGGCAGCCTGGCCTCTGCGCTTGGCGGGAGCTCGGCCTCGCGGCGCTGCTCTGCGCTCCGCGGGCTCACGCTACTGCGCGCCCCCCCCCGCACCTGTGCGCATGCGCGCGCCTCAGCGCTGAAGGAGCCGGTCCTCCGCGGGAGCTCGGCCTCGCGTCGCTGTTCCGCTGCGCGCCCCGCCCCCGCCCCTGTGCGCATGCGCGCGCCTCAGCACTGAAGGAGCCGGTCCTCCGCGGGAGCTCGGCCTCGCGGCGCTGCTCCGCTGCGAGCCCCGCCCCCGCCCCTGTGCGCATGCGCGTGCCTCAGCACTGAAGGAGCCGGTCCTCCGCGGGAGCTCGGCCTCGCGGCGCTGCTCCGCTGCGAGCCCCGCCCCCGCCCCTGTGCGCATGCGCGCTCCTCAGCACTGAAGGAGCCGGTCCTCCGCGGGAGCTCAGCCTCGCGGAGCTGCTCCGCTGCGAGCCCCGCCCCCGCCCCTGTGCGCATGCGCGGCGCGGCGCTGAAGGAGCGCGCTGCGGACGCGCGGACTGCGCCGGCCGGACCTCGAGGCGCGCCGGCCCCGTCTTGGCCGGCGGCTCTCGGGAGCGGCCCGCAGCACGAATCTTAACGTCAGAAATGCCTACACGCCGACCTGTGCTAGTTAGAAAATGTGGGAAAGGACCGGTTTAAAAATGTCCCTGTGTAATTCCTACGTATGCAAACCAGCACCGAAATGCCTGAGTATGTAACTCGTGACCTAAAGCAAACGGTTGAAAATAAAGACACAACAGCTCTGAGCTCTTCACAGACGAGAAAAACGATCTCTGAGAAGTAAGTTTGTTTTAATAGAATTATTTAATTTTCCCCCACAGTAAGCAAAGCAAACATTATTACTCTGGGTATATCAAATTGAATTTTAGGAATGTAGTAAAGTCTGCCTTGGAAATATTACATAGAAAAAGACTGAATTAGCAAACAACGCATTTTTAGTTTCTCCTCGTGACTATACATTGACGTCTACGTATCTGACAGCGGCTCTGCTGGCTTTGAGTATTTTTGTTTTTCCTTCTTTTGTGAGAGGGAATGCAGAATGGCAGTATTATCTTTGGAACAAATAAGACCAAAAATAACAAAAGACCAACTTCACGTACATTCTCAAAAAGTGAAACGATAAGACTATAATTCTGCGAACAGTCCGCCGCCTCCACGGAGCTGACCTCGGCACCCCTTGTGCCGAGCTGTCACGCAGCGGCGCTCCCGCCCGCCTGCCGTGGGCAGAGCCCAGCTCGAGCCAGGCCACGGCCAGGCGACCCAGCGCGGTGCGCGGAGCCCGGGCGGCCCGCAGGGCCTCGGCTCTAAGGTCACACTGAGAGGCTCGCCGGTGAGCCGGTGTCCACCTTTCATACCCCACGCTGCTTCTCTGGTGGTCTATCACGCCAGCGTGGGGATATGAAGAAGTAACAAATTAGATCGCACCAACAGACGCGCAGTATTGAAGGTCTACAGGGCGGCCTGGCCCTGGACTCCTTCCCCAAGAGTAACCCTCCACACACACGCCAAGCCCTGCTGTGCGCACACCGACCGGCTGCTGGGGTCAGGCCACAGGCAGCTGATGGCGCGCGCGGCTCAGGAAGGCAGGACCAGGGCTCTGTGGTCTTCTGCTCGCCCAGACTCCAAGCACGCTCAGATCAGACCATGATGTTCTTAATACATTTTCTGAGGCTTAGAATGTAAAGCACACAAGTAAGCAGAGCAGCAACAGTCTTTTCAAAATGACTAAAACAAATTTTAAATATAAAGTATATAAAAAGGATTATTAAGGATTTTCCAAAACTATATTTAGAAATACAGGAAAATATGTGTTGCCTCATAATAAAGTTAAATAAATATTCTTTCTGAATCCTATAAACACTGTAAGATGTTCTAGATTTATTTGGTTCTCATAAGTTAAAAAAATCTGATTGCTTTAACATAATTCTTTCAAAATCATCTACGTTCAGATTTTTATTATCTTTCACTTCTAACTTTCTTTTAGAAATGTGCTTTTTTGTTGGCTTTAGTAGGTCTATTTAATCTTCTAGCAATAAACATGATTTAAAATTTAAGGTTCAGAAGGTAGCCCAGAAAAGGCAGGCCCTCCACCGCCTGCGCTTCTCCCTCCACACGGCCCAGGCCTGCACACCTGGGTCTCCTCCCAACCCTGCTCACCACATTAACAGTCGCTGGAGTCCAGCTTCTGCTTGGAAGATTTTAGAATTCCTCAGCATTCCACAACACTACAAATGATCAAGATCCCAAGTGGACAGGTTACAAGTATTAGTGTTAAGTAAATTTTTGCTATTGGAAAAAGAAATACAGATGTTTACTTTTTCTATCTAAATGAAATTGAAGCTCCTGCCTCAGTTCTCAAGATAATATCTAAAATGTACATTACTAAAGAAAGGTAAAGCTGTTCAAGGGCTGAACTAGTCCAATATACACTTAATTATTATTTATTCTTGCTATTTTTTGTCTTTTTTGTTTTTAATCCCTGTATTAAACCCCTAGTTTCTCGTGGATTAGGTCATAATTTAACACTATAAAAATTTAAGAAACTATTGTGCTAATATTCAAATTTCAGGAAGGAATCTGACTAATTACCTCCATTTATTGTTAGAACAGAAGATAAAATAGCTTACTAGCTGATATGAGTTATGAATGTCACTGTGACATATCACTTGCTGAGGTTTTCTTACTTGCTGCAAGTGCAGCATTCTTCACGAATGACAGTACACAGCATTTCAGACTGGTCACAAGAGGCTCCAGCTCATAAGGTGCTGTGAGACTTTGAAAGCCTGACTGTAGCAGAGTCACAACCTCCCCTGGAAAACAGGACCAGGATGCACCGGGAAAGCAGGCACGGACGGTATTGCTCGGGGTTCCTTCTTTTCCTCTCGTGGCTTTGTTTCTCAAGACGCCTTCTGTAGATGGTTCAGTCAGAACCCAGTACTTGTTACAAAATGGCACAGCTGGTTTTGTCCTTCTCCTTTTCTTTATCTTTTTCTTGAGGTTCCTTCCATTTACGGTCGCTAATAGCTGATTGTCTTCCACTTGATGGAGAAGCTTGAGCCAGCTGGCCCTGCTTTAAGAAAAGCACACAGGAAGAAATCATACCACTCATTTAAGGTTAACAAGTCATGCATGAGAACTACAACAGTCAAAGATATCACTAAGGGAAAAGGAGCTAAGAAAAAGACCCCGGGGGAGGGACCAGGAGGGTCTCTCTGTGTAGTTCAGGCTGCATGGGAACCCACTATGTAGCCTAGGATGGACTCAAACTGAGAGCAAGCCTCCTGCCTCAGCTTTCTGAGTTCTAGGATTGGCTGGTCCTAGATTTATTATATTAATGGGCATTTACATAATTACTAGACAGATGCTAGCCACTTAATGCATTTATGACTCTAAATATTCTTTTTTTTTTTCTTTCTTTCTTTTTTTTTTTTTTTGCAGGACCGGGTATTGAACTCATGTACTTGTGCTTGCCAGGCAAGCACTTATTCTACTGAGCCATCTTCCCAGCCCCTAAATATCTAAAAATAAATCACACATAATTTCTTTTTTTTTAAATTTCTTTTTATTTATTTATTTATTTATTTTACACATAATTTCTTTTTTTTTAATTTTT